TGATGGATGGATCAAGAAGATGTGGTTTATCTATACCATGGAATACTACATGGCAATGAGAAAGAATGAAATCTGGCCACGTGTAGCAACATGGATGGACCTTGAGGGTGTTATGCTGAGTGAAATAAGTCAGACAGAGAAGGACAGTTACCATATGTTTGCACATATAGGAGGATTAGGGGGAACTTAACGGAGGACCATGGGGGAGGAGAAGGGGGAAATAATAGTTGGGGAGTGGGAGGGAGGCAAACCATGAGAGACTCTTGAATACTGAGAACAAACTGAGGGCTGATGGGGGTGGGGGGGAGGGGGGTGATGGGCATGGAGGAGGGCACTTGTAGGGATGAGCACTGGGTGTTATATGGAAACCAACTTGACAATAAATCATGAAAGAAAAAAATAATTTAAAAAAAACAACAAAAAGCAAACAAAACAAAACAACAACAAGGAGAAAGATTTATTTGGCCTGAGATGTAAAGTTTCAAGTGTATACACTTATCCAGAACTGAATGAATAAGTGAATGATTGAATGAATGTATGATTGCATGAGTGAGTGAATAAACGAATGAAAATGAATCAACAGATGTTGTTAGGCATAGAGTTAGGCACCTCTTTGGAAAGCAGCATAAATGAGTTTTCTTTGGTAAAGATGAAGTAAAACCTCATATCACAAAGAAGCATCTCGCCCATCAGACACGGCCTCCTCCTCCCTCAGACAGAAGTATCCACACACCCACACATGACCCTTCCCCTCACATAGGTTGTCATCCCTGAAACAGGTCAGGCCCTCTCAGACCAGGCCTTCCTCCCTCAGACCAGGCCCTCCCTGCTCTGACAGAGCCACCCAACTCAGAACATCCCCTCCCCCAACTCTGATCAAACCTCCCCATTGTGGCCAGTTTCCCTGCTCAGACCAGGCCTTCGCCTCAAACAGGCCTTCCTCCCTCAATCCAGGCTCTGCCCCTTCTGATGAGCCTCCCCCGTCTGGCTGGCCTCCCCCCTCAGACCAGGCCCTGCCCCCTCTGACCAGGCCCCCCCCTCAGGCCGGCCCACAGGCAGGGCACTCACTCTGGGCCAGCCCCAGGTGGGCGCTGCGGCTGTGGTTGAGCCTCAGCTGGGTGACGTAGTTGCAACAGTCCAGGAAGGTCTTGGCACAGGAGGCCCCGAGCTGGAAGTACCGGGCCCTGCGCTCGCAGGGGAACTTCATGGGGTTCTCCCGCATGCCGTGTTCACAGCACTTGCGCACCTCCTTCGGGTACTGACCCGCTGTGGGGACACGACAGCCGTCAGGCCCTCAGCCGCGGCTTCGAAGCAGGTGGAACATCCCCACAGCCCAGCCCTGCCCTCCTCCCTCCAGGGCTGGGCCCCTGATGGGCAGGGTTCGGAGGCAGAACGGGGACCCCCACCTTTGTCCATCCTCTTCTCCATGAGCATCACGGAGCGACGGCGCCGGGCAGCTGGTTTGGGGCACTCCAGCTCTGAGGGGAGGGGGACACGCGAACAAGACGGATTAAGCCCT